ATCCATTATATATGGAAAACAGCTTTTGGTTAGATAACATTCACTGTGGTAAGATTCTATCTTCATTTTCCATTTTTATGTTCTCAATTTTTGGAGAAAACCCAAGAGATCTTATTATAAGTAATAGTAGAGTTTTTTACTCTAAATATAGTCAGCCCGTGACACCATTTGCCACATAGAACACGTGCAATTGCTTTTTATTGTAATGTCATTGAGGTTGGCTGGGCTGGAACAGGATTCTCCTGTCACTGTCATGGCCTTCAACACTCTCCTATAGACAGATGCCTGATTCTTACCCAACTGCCTTTCTTACAAAGTCTGGCTTGTTGGCCTGTTGACCCAGGGCTCCTTGCAAAGCTGCTGGAATTACTTAATTGGCCTTTTAAGCATGTTTAATGTCCTGATGAAGTTCTCTATTTCCCATGTGTGTTGTATAGAAATCAATGGCTGGCATAAAGACTTTCTTGGTTCATCAGGAGGCATATAATAAGAACAACAATGACAACACTAACTTAGAGTACCCACCACATATCAAGTTCTGAACTGTACAAATTACATGTATTGATTCCTTGAGTCCTCAGTAATTTTGTGAAGCATTAACTGTTATTGTGCCCATTTTACAGACGTGGAAACTGAAGCATAGAGAGGTTTAGTAATTTGTCCAAGTGCATACCGGAGGAAAAGTCTGACCTGGTATTTAAACAAGCATAGTCGTGAGAAAGTCCCAGAGTCAACAGAAGGTGAAACAGAACAAAGCAAGAAAAGCCACAGTAACAATACACTAAAGAGCTTTTCTTTGACCATCGTTCTTCATGCACATTTGTCCATGGATTATGCATTTTGACTACTATCCATTACTAAAGTGTACACTTTGGGAAAGACTTTAATAATTTATTTAGATTCATTATAGACCCCAGGTCAACTCTGAAGTTCTCAAGTTGCTCAGAGAAACTTGAATAAATAGGTCTGAAATTTCCCAGGGGAGGGGTGAAGGTTCAAGATATTTCATCACATTTACGTTAGAAATGCACGAAAACTTGGAGATGAGCCAATAGGTTTCCCACCGTGACTGTTGGCATGCTCCATCAAGGCAAGAATTTTTATTTGTGTTGGTGTCTGCCATACCCCTGATAGTTGGAATTATGCCTGGAATACAGTAGGTGCTCAAAAAATACTGGGCAAATAAATGAATTGAACAGATACCATGGGTCATAACCTTAACATACACTAGATTTGCTGTAAACTCTGGAGAACAGCAGAAGAGAGACTGGCAAAGCAGAGTGGAAAGTAACTTCAGGTCTGTCTTACATGTCCTTGGTCCTCACCTCACTGCACAGCACTCAAGAATATTCACAGCCATGCCCCAGGGAGCGGGAGGAGAGCCTTCATTTGGTATAATGTTGTTTTTTTGTGAGGACAAGAAAAAATTTCATGCACTAATTCCAATGGTGAATACTTTTCAAGGGCTTATTATGCAGTAGCCATTGGATATATAGTGAAGAACATATATATTCTTCACCACATTTTACACATGAGAAACGAAGGCCACAAAGCTGGTAACTGGCGAGCTGGGATCATGAACCTCATCAGCCCACTTTAGAGCCACACTGGTGCCAGTGGTCTGTGGTCCTTCCTCGGATTCAGTGGAACTGAAGACACACCCTCACAAAGCCTATCAGAAAGTACAAATCTGACGTGCCCTGCGGGACAGCGGACGGTGGTGTGAGAGAGTGTGAGGGAGGGAGCGGCAGGGTGGGACGCTGAGAAAATGGATTTTGGCTGGGGAGGGAGGTGCTATGCCAGGTCAGGCCTTTTAGGCCGTGTGAACTTTTGTGAGCCGTTTTTTATCTCAGTGGGAGGTCGTCGCAAGATTTTTGTGGGGATGCGACATGATCCTATTTATGTTTTATAAATGCCACTCATTCTGCTTCTTGTACTTTTATAGAATAGTCACAATGATTAATGGCACATTTTTGACAGAATATTCCTTCCTTCTAACATGCTTTTTCATGACTTTAGCTCATTCACGTGCCTCATAGATGGTATTTGGAAAATGCTTTTGAATAGAAACCATATTTAAGACTATTTTTGGATTGATATGTTGTAACATAAATAGATATGATGTGTATGAGAAGCAAGTTTAGAAGATTTGTATATGTTACTATGATTTAAAATTAAGGAAAAGGCATGTGGCAGAGGTACGAGTAAGTACTTCACTGCACCATTGATAAAAGTTACTAAAAGTAACTTTTCCAAAGCTATGCAATGCGTATTATAGGTTATGTACATATTAAATATTGTTGGTATATTTATATATATTTAGACAGTATTTTCTATAAGTAGTACTGATGCAGGCATATGGAATTATAATGTAATCATATTATGTAATTATAATCTAAAGTATTGAACTTATTAATATAGAATTCTATAATAGAATTAAACTGATTCAGGTTTACTATTTCACCCATATTTTAAATATAATGAAGCAAAGGCAAGAAAATCCTGGATTTTAGTGAAATTCAGTAAAGAGAATGCTTACACTGGCCTGTATAGTAAACTGCTAAGACTCACAGGTTTGTACTGATATTATTGCTTGTTCTTTGCAAAACCACCACCTAGGAAAACAGCCCGGCCACCTTTCGGGTGCGCGGTGTTTGTATCTCATTCGTATAAACAAGTTGTCTTTTGGAACCAGAAGTACAAACCGTGGCCTTTGGCGCTGGTTAAAAGCTGAAACTGTTGCTCTAACAAACACAATTTCTCTTCCTGGGCTGCTTGGAGATTGGCAGGAGCTCAGCCCTGAACATCCAGGGCAAGCGCACGGTCCAGCAGCGCCCCCTGGAGGCCAATGGCGAAATAGCAGCCTGTCCTGTGGCAGCAGGAAGGCGAGGAACCAGTTCTCCAAATACATTTTTGGAGCAAGTAGGTGAGGCAAAGAACCACCTGGAGAACGGGGAGGCAGGTGACAGGTTAGACAGCAAGAGAAGTGGCACGAAGCAGAGTCGGTTAATGATTCAAGCGGCTTTCTGACGCGGAGAATGCTTCAGTTGGTGAGAGAAGGGGGCACTTTTAAATTCTCGCTCCATACCAGTCAGGGAAGTCCTCCGAAGATTTGAATGTCCTTGCCTATCAGGACAGGCAGACATTTTATAAGGTGAGAATTCTGCATGAATGCCCCTGTTCAAAGGCTGTATTATTGAATCTGCCACCCGTCAAATCTGAGAATGCAAATGAGAAGAATCCTGTGGCTACCGCCCGGAATATGGGCCAGTGGTTCTGTTGTTATAGGGAAAGGCTGTCTCTTTTGGTTAATTTGCCATCGCTAAAGTTTTGGTATAGTCCAGTGATGGCGAACCTTTTGAGCTCGGCGTGTCAGCATTTTGAAAAACCCTAACTTAACTCTGGTGCTGTGTCACATATAGAAATTTTTTGATGTTTGCAACCATAGTAAAACAAAGACTTATATTTTTGATATTTATTTTATATATTTAAATGCCATTTAACAAAGAAAAATCAACCAAAAAAATGAGTTCGCGTGTCAGAGGTTCGCCATCACTGGTATAGTCAAATTACCACTGCGCTCTCAACAAATAGGACTTTCATTCCTATTTTAAGGTGACCAAAAAATGCATGGTGGTCAGATAATTCTTATTTTATGTTATTTGTTTTTCAATTCAAAACCTTTTATTTCATTTTTTACCTTTTCAACATTTTTTCAAAATATATTTTATTGTTTTACTACAGAGAGGAAGGGAGAGAGATAGAGAGTTAGAAACATCGATGAGAGAGAAACATCGATCAGCTGCCTCCTGCACATTTCCTACTGGGGATGTGCCCGCAACCCAGGTACATGCCCTTGACCGGAATCGAACCTGGGACCTTTCAGTCCTCAGGCCGATGCTCTATCCACTGAGCCAAACCGGTTTTGGCCTTTTCAACATTTTTATTGAATTTATTTGGGAATGGGGGAGCCTCTGGGATAACTACAGGTCATGGGGGAGCATGGTGTGATGGGGGTGGTGGTCACGGGCCAGCACTGTGCTACCACTGGCAGGGATCAGCCCGTCTGTTTTGGTCTGTCCTGGTCTGTTCCTCACATAAAATAGATATTCTTTTTTTAATGTTTTATTGATTTTTTAGAGAAAAAGGAAGGAAGAAGGGGAAAGAGATAGAAACATCGTTTGGCTGCCTCCTGTATATCCCCTGCCCCGAAACCAGGCGTATGTCCTGACCCAGAATCGAACTGGCGACCTCTTGGTGCATGGGGTGATGCTCTATCACCGAGCCACCCTGGCCAGACAAAGTAGATATTCCTTTTTTAAAAATTAACAGTTCCATCTCTTCTTTACTTCCATAATCAAATCATGTAGATATGGTCACCCCCATTTTACAGATAAGGAAAGGAGACTCAGAGATGAGTGAGTAGCATGCCCTGCATCACAAAGGCCTGATGCAAATGCTCACGGCTTTATTAGCCACATTCAGTGCGCAGGGATGTGAGGCTGAGGGGCAGTGAAATCCATTACCCAAAGCCACACAACTGGCCAGCACATGTTTTGGTATTTCTCACCCAATTTAAAAAAAGACAACACACACACGCCTAGAAAATGAAAGATTTTGAGTAAGAAATGATGAAGATAGCCAGGTCTTTAACTTGCACAGGTACTAGTGAGAGATGCCGGGATGGGCGTCGTGGGGGCTCAGCAATGGTGGCCCGGGCTGCTGTCTGCTTTGTTCTGTTGCTGCTGCGAACCACCACCCCTTTCCTGCTGATGCTCATTCAGAAAGAAGTCTCCTGGCCCTAACCAGTTTGGCTCACTGGATAGAGCGACTGAAGGGCCCCAGGTTTGATTCCTGGTCAGGGCACATGTCTGGGTTGCGGGCTTGAACCTTAGTAGGGGCCATGCAGGAGGCGGACAGTCAATAATTCTCTCTCATCATTGATCTCTCTCTCTCTCCCTCTCCCTTCCTCTCTGAAATCAATAAAAATATTAAAAAAGAAAGAAAGAAGTCTCCTGGACATTATAATGATTAGACATGAACCTGAAAGGATCAAATCTCCAGGCTTTCGATAAAAAAAAACCCTCTTTAAGCTGTTTGTACACAGATCATCCGGCCGGAAGCAGGATCTCAGGAATTCTTCGAGAGGCCAAGGCGGGTCAGAGAGGATTAGCGCAGCCGGTGGGCACGCAACTAAAGGAAGCTTCTCAAGTGAGCAGAGCAAAGCAAAACAAGCCGTGTGAGAAAATGCTGACACAACGCAGGTTTCAGTGTAATAAACAGTGCGCTCGGACCTCTGCTTCACCCTATGGGACTGAGCACCATAAATACATTATATTTTAGTTCTTAGGAGAGGAGCAGAGGGTCCACGCCATGTAAGAATCGTGTTTTTATGAGCCCGCTGATGAGTAGCCGGATGTTGAATCGCATCCTGAGTCCTTAAGGCCTCATAAGCAGAGCAGCACAGCCTGTGTTTGCCCAGGGAAGCATCTGAGAGGGATTCCTCCAGAGTCCCATTGCGGTCGGCAGGCTCCCCTGCCCAGCCCGGCGGGTTCTCATTATTGCTGTCGGCAGGCGCTTCACACGGGTCCTTCCATCATCAATTCTGCAGGAAAGACACACCACCTCAGTGGCCTGTTGCTCACAACAGACGTCAAATTTAAACAATGGCTCTCCGACCTGTGTTGTATTCCGTTGTGTTCTGGAAGTTCATATGCATGCCAAGCGCTCCAGGAGGGAGCAAACAGTAAGTCACGTAATGAGAGGGACTCAGCCACGCTGCTTACCTTCCCAGCTCGGCTACTTGGGGATATTGCAGACGCCGTCTTCTTACCTCCTGATGCTGGGTGCACAGTGATCGCACCATTATTGCTAATATTCCCAGTGAAATTCTTGAAATTGGCTCAATTATATACATGGAAAACCCTTGTAAGTCACATAGAGGCACTCTTCAGCCACATATATTTTCATCAAACTATCAAATCAAGAATAGGAAATACAGCATTTTTGGGGGGCTGGAAGCAAAGAAAAACAGGAAATCATTCTCTTTGACACATTTATCTCCTACTTGTCACATAGTACAGGTGGCAGAAGTAAAACACATGGACTTTGGGGGATATGTTTGACATTAAATACAGATATGACCAGATCGTGCTATTTTCACTCTAGATTTCCATTTGGTGCGTCCGGGTGTCACACAGCCAATAAAATACTGTCTTGATAAACCCATTTAGAGATTCCTGCATAACAATTTACAGTTGGTTTGCAGCTGAAGTCTGTTTTTTAACAAAGTAAGAACACTTCACATGCAATCTTCCTCCTTCAACTTTTGAGAGCACGACGCAGCAGGGAGAGCTGCAGGCGCCAGGCTGTCCAGCAGGCCTCTGGGACTCCTTCATCTTGTGAAAATGAAACTCGATGCTCCTGAACGTCTCCCCAGGTCCTCCTCCCTGCAGCCCCTGGCAGCCGCCACTCTGCTCCCTGCTTCCCTGAGTTGGTCTCTGGTGGATCCCTCACGTCATCGGAGCGTGCAGCGCCTGTGCTTCTGCGACGGGCTTCCTTCCCTCGGCATCAGCCCCCACGCTCATCCAGGTGTTGCAGATGGCAGGGTTTGGTCTTTTCTGTAAGGCCAGGTCATATTCCACCGTATGAATATAGCACATCTTCTTTATCCAGGCACTTGTTGATGGGCATGTGGGCGGTTTCCGTGTCTGGGCTATTGTGACTAGTGCTGCAGTGAACATGGGGGTGCAGGGACTCTTGGGGATTCTGATGTCAATTCGCGGATGTGGAGAAATTGGAGCCCTTGTGCACTGAGGGTAGGAATGGAAGATGGTGTCGCCGCTGCGGAAAGCAGCATGGAGGTCCCTCGGAAAATGAAAATAGAGCTGTCGTATGATCCAGTCATCCCATGTCTGTGTGTATATGCAAGTGGATTATTTTTGATACAGTAACTTGCAAATACCATATCAAAACACCACATAATTACTAATACAGAATCATATAAAATTGCAGCTTTCTCTCACACCTTGCCTGGTCCAAATATTGGTGTAATTTGATCCGCAATCAGCACGGACAAGAAAGTAATGAGAGTAATATTTCTGTTTTGTGCAATATCAACCCGCAGTCGCTGGTGCTGTTATTCAGTCTCGGTAATTGTTTAGGTCATCAATCTCTGGCAGGAACCTTCCGGAGTGCGGGATGATAGCAGAGCATCAAGCTGCGCCACGCTGAGAAGCGATGCATCTCTGCCAGGTGAAGTTCTGCCCTTCGGCTACCATAATGTATCTCCATTCTGCTTACAAATGGGTGTTCACTGTGCTAAATGGCAACAGGGTACACGGGATTTATAAATAGATGAAACGTTTGCTCTCGCTAACATCAGAGCTTACATAGTTGAAAGTGCAATTGGAAGTTGAGGCAAAATAATTACACTTACCTGCAAAATAAATGACTTTGGTAAATCATTGTGATAAGCTATTCAGATGATTAAAGATTGTTTATGTAAAATACGCTCTTCGTAGAATAACTCAATTTTAACTTTCAGTGTTCACTCTTAAAAAATAAAGTCTGTTTTTTACCTAAAACATAGCATTGCGTCATCGTACATAATTTTGTTAATTTATAAATTTTAAAGGAATCTCTTTCTTTTTTTTAATATATTTTATTGATTTTTACAGAGAGGAAGAGAGAGGAATAGAGAGTTAGAAACATCGATGAGAGAGAAACATCGATCAGCTGCCTCCTACACACTCCCCACTGGGGATGTGCCCAAAACCAAGGTACATGCCCTTGACCGGAATCGAACCTGGGACCCTTGAGTCCGCAGGCCGACGCTCTATCCACTGAGCCAAACTGGTTAGGGCTAAAGGAATCTCTTTCTAATCTTTGCTGTTAGATTCATTAAGTCGTTGGCCATTGTTTTAGTCTGGGATAAGAGTCTTTTATTTTTGATAGAAAATTTATTCCCTGATTACACAATGGAGATAACTTGATCTCCTCTTTGCTGATTGGTTTGTAAAGGTAGCTGTGTATCCTCCCTTATTAATCAAAGGTGGCATTTTATAGATAAACATATAGGAGGAAAATCAATACAGTGCTTGCTGTAACTTTAAAAAAATTATTGATTTTCGAGAGAGAGGGAGGGAGAGAGAGAGATATATATTGACTTGTTGTTCCACTTACTTATACATTCATCGGTTGATTCTTGTGTGACCAGGGACTGAACCTGCAGCCTTGGATAATGGGGTAATGCTCTAACCTGCTGCGCTACCCGGCGAGGGCTTGCCATAACCTCTGATTTTGTTTTTGACTGAAGCATTTTGTCCCTGCATCAGTGTTTTCTATGAGGTACATTACTTCTGGTTCAATTTTCATTATTTAATTCAATGAACATAGTAAAGCCTCCATTTTTATCTGAGAATTTTTTCCAATATCTAGAAAAGTATGGAAAAAATGTGGTCATCCCACAAGAACACACCGCTGAGCTTTATGAAAGTTTTAACATTTTGATGAAAGATCACAGAAAGAATGTCAATACTTGGCTGCCCTCCCCAGACTGGCTCCTTCCCCTCCATTCATGTCCTGTTCATGCGAACGTTTGTCGATTTCATGTATGCATTCGTACTATTACTGCACCAGGATTGACCCATTGACCCTACACAATGTTTTGTATGTTTTCAGTTTTTGCACAAATAGTCTGAGACTGAGAATATCATTCAACTTGCCTTTATTTTTCACTCTTCTGCCTGTAGTTTTCACCATGTTAGTGCAAATATCCCAGAGTCATTCATTTTAAATACTATACAGTATGATATTAATGGAGTACGTCACAATTTATGTAATGAGCAGTTAGGCCTGTATCCAATTTTTCACGGTTATAATCATGAATTTCCTACCACGTGTCTTCATGCCATACATGCTAGGGTTTCTCTAGAACAGTATATGCTATAAAGTTCAAATGTGCTTATTCACAAATTTGGCAGCATATGTTTATATTGCCCTCAGGTTGTTTCTATAACTTTATACATTTTGCAGTGCATAAAAGTTCCCTATTTTTCCAAAATCTTATCAATGGTTAATAGCAAATATTTCCAATTTTGTCAGACTGATGGATATGAAATAGTATTTAACTATTGTTTTTAATTTCCATACTTAGACATGAGCTTGAGTATCTTTTAGTACATTTTTCAGAATTTAGTTTGTCATTGTATTATCTATTCACATATTTTTCTCATAGTTTTTGGTTCTTTGCCTATTTCCTTATTAATTAGTAAGAGGTCTTTATATAGCTTCTTCCAGTTGGTAGCTGGTCTTTTCACTTGCATATGACCTCTAGTTGGAGAATTAAAAATTAAATGCATTCAAATTTATCAGTTTTCTTTTTGAGCTTTTGAATCATATTTAAGCAAGCTTCCCTTGCCTTGTAGCCATAAAGATATTCTTCTATGTTTTCTGTAAAGAACTTTATGGATAAGGTGTTTCATTCATACTACTTGTACAGATTAGGTCAGTCATTAGAATGGATTATAAGGTATAACTAATTTTATTTTTATTACATATAACAAAATCTGTTCTTACAGTAACTTTT